GCTTCCCACATTGAACCATGATAAACTTAAAGATTTTATGCTTGAGTTCAATTATTTTAGGCAAAATGTTGACAATAGAATATTAAAACTTAGTCAGAATTCTTGGCTTTTTAGATATTTCTAAAAAATTCATTCCCAATTGAATTGATGAACACACCTCTTTATAACTGCTTTGTTTTTTTTGGAAATGTGGTTTTAATTCGTTTTCCTCTCTTAAATGGACTTTGCATTGCCTTTTTTTAAAAGAAACTCCATATTACTCTCTTTATGTAGATGAAAATGTATTATATTTTACTTTTTTTTATACATAAATTCTTAATTTGATTATTTATTTCTTAGTTGCTATTTTTTATATATTTCAAATTTTCTATTATACTAAATAAAAAATTTTAAAAAAAAACCCATAGCAAAACACTGGCACCATACTAGTTTCAAATAATTTAAAACGAAAAGAGTATTTATTGTGTGATGAGTACAAGCCCAAAATTAAATCATTTTCCAACCCCAGGTTGGCTTTCCCATCCTTTCCAGGTCAGGATGAGAAACGATACTATACAAGCTTTGTCATAGCCCATATTAAAGAAAAGAAAGGGAAGGAAAAAGGTGAAAAGAAAAAAAAATTAAGCTCTTTATATAATTCCAAGTTAATAAGCCTGAACTTCATTTGGAATTCTAGCCCTGCATCCTGCATATCCACCCAACCGAAAGAAAAAAAAAAGGTCTGATATATATAGCATCCAGTTCTGCATCAATGAAACTAAAAACTTCCTTTTTAATCAAGTTTGATGAAATGAAGATCAAAACATTAAATGGCTTAATAATGCAGATCAATGAAACCAGATTATTTGTTTATTTGTTCATTTACTTATTTGCCAATATCCCTCTGAAACACGCAGCTTAATTGCCACTTGCTCGGTAAAATTATCTCTTTGATATGTTGTGTAATATATAGCGGCAGGGTAACTTTTTGACGTTTGGGTTTTACAATGATGTTTAAGTTATTGGACCTGTAATATTCTATTAAAGAATAATAAGTTGCGAAATTTCAATCAGATGATGTGCTAGATTTAATTAATTGATTTAATATTTGTCAAAGCGACTGCTTTCTGCTAACGGAGCATTAATTCAGCATACTATGCTGGTTAAATTTTTAAAAATTATGAACTCCATAAAATTCAAACGACTAACACTAGAATACACATAAGAATTATAAATGTTAAAGAAAAAGGCTAGCTGCAAGAACGAAAAATACTGGGCATAAAAAAATACAAAAATGAAATCAAATTAATTAAAGAATAACAAATAAAACGAGTAATGACACCTCGTATGAAGATATAGGTATACATATGTAACGCTATGAAGAATATCGAGTGTATAGTAAATACTAAAAATTAAACCCAAAAAACTTGAAAGCCAATGCCAACCTTAATTATTATGCTATCACTTGCAGTTTAGATCTTGGAGATTCCTTGTTGAAACATTGAATGTGAGGGTACAATTCATCTCTGGGGATTTGTTTCTCTTTATCACTTTCATCAATTCCACTTTTCCTTTCAACTTGGCCTGGCTGTTCAATGTCAATACGTTGGAACTCAATTCTGAACCAAGTGGTGCAGTGTTTGTCAATGCTCTGGAGTTCACTTCCACAGTAACATCCAATTTCTTGGTAGAACGAGCCCTGGCCCTGGCCTTGGGAATAATTGCCTCTCCTACTATTACACCATCATACAGAAAACTCATAGTACTGTTATCAAATCTGTAATGACCAAAATTGGTGTTTTTTACCGTAACTTGGGCAATGAACTTGAGATCAAATGAAGCAGCAGCAGCTGCTTCGGTGTTACTAGTTTCCATTGTTTCAATGGTGATTCTTCCAATTCTCACCTTTGGGTTCTTAACGCGCATGACAGTCAGTGCAAAAACCAGGATGATAGCGGTTTGGAACACTGCAAAAGCGGCAATATACACGGCATATTTGATTCTCTTCTTTCTTTTCAGCTCTTTCGCTTGTAACCCGGCTGATTCTTCGTCACTCCTCGGGTGCTTGTTAGCTGGTGCTAGGGGATGCACTTGCTTGTCTTTCTCAGCCATTTTTCTTTACTAGCTATGAAACTGATCAAAAGAAAATACCTCTTTATCACTTTTCTTGATGTTTTAATTGAGTTGAGGAAAGCTTAGCAGAGCAACCTGGTATATATAGTTCTCGGTTACCATTAGGACAGGGCATTTGACATAGGAATAAACGAATTGTCATCGTGAAATGGTCAGACAGGTTCCTCGAAATGGGTTTTTTTTTTTTTTTCTCTCTGTTGAAGCATTAAACGCGTGTAAGGTTGGACTTTGTGACATTCATTCTAGATGGTCTTGTAACTTTGGTAAATGGTAGGGAGTTCTCATCGTAAAAATTGAGATTATAATAAATAAAAAAAAGAAGTTTCTGTTCTATCTGTTCATTGGACTAACCTGCCCTGGCCGGGTCATGATATAATGTTTTTGGCGCTACGAGATGGGCTGATCAAGTGCAATTTACTCTTAGGCCTTGGTGATTCCTTTTTCTTTTATTACCTTTTTCTTTTCTCTCCGATAAGGATGAAAATGAGTAAATTAATCAAGTAAATAAATTATTAGCAATTTATCACTCATTTTTAATTTCAAGAGTTCCTGATGATTACAGGCTTTTTTCTTATAATTTACAGGGCCTATCAAATAATAATTGTTAAAATATGTGGTGATTAAGTCCTCTTAATTTCTTGTTTGCCTTTGCAGGAAACACATTGCATCTTTTAAAATCAAATTTCACAAGTATTTTATTTAATTTTAATAGTTAAGTGACATTAACTTAATCAAAAAATTATCAAAAACCCCCAAAATGAAATAATACAAAATATTAAATATGGATATTTAATTAACTAGCATGAAACTAATTAACCATAAAAAAAATGCACTTGAAAATTTCAATAAATAAAACTAGTTTTGCATTGATGTAATAGTTTAATATTATATTGAATTTTACTTTTTTAGGGGTTCAATATTACTTTATATATATATATATATATATACAGGGATAAAAAATATAATTTTTAACTCTTTAAGCGTAGAAGAGGATGTACTAATTATCACTAAATCAATCAAATGTTCGGATATTTGGTACATATTGACAAGAGACGTAGACAGAAGTTTCTGATCCAAAATTCCAAACAATTTAACTTAATTTAAATTTACCAATTTCGGAGACATTAGAAAGAAGTAATTAATACCATGTAGTATGGTAAATGAGAAAAAATGGGAAATTATACACTGATCAAGACTAGGGTTAGGTTTGGAGGACTAGGATTAAGTTTGGATTCTATCACATTTTTTATGCGATATAATTAAGTATATTATATTAATAATTGAATTTAAATATTAACTCCAATGATATTTATTGAATATAAATTTTTTATTAAAAATTTATTTTTTAATCATAATTATAATATTTTTTTAATCATAATTATAATAATTTTTATTATTATTTTTAATTTCATCGAAATTGAAACATGACTCGTGTAGGTGTTCAAATTGTGATAATCAATTAATTATTCTAGTATTAACTTTTATTTATTTATTTATTTTAAATCAAATGGAAACCATAAACCATTGGGAGAATTAGTCTATCCCCAACCCTTGACATCAGATATCCATTAAACATTTATGGTTAATTGAAGTTTTGGTCAAATAAGATGGCTGAATTTTTTTGACCTTTTACATGAATTTTTAAAGGCAGTGGGTGGGTATAAGCAACGTCTATACGGACCGTACCTCCTTCTAGATTGCTTGGAAAAAAAAAATCATAAATAGTTACGTGGTTATTATTGCTTAATTAATTAGTCACAGAGCTGATTAATGAAAAAAATAAATAAAATAAACAAAATCTATTCATCATTAATATTGAAAAAATAAGTGAAGTTGGTGTGTTTCCACATGGAGAAAACCACACTATGAACAGCATAGTTGACGTGGTACAGTTGACGTACAGCAGCCATTAAGGACTTGATCATCAGTTGATTTTTATAGTTTAGCTCAAGAGACAATTTGACAATCATATCAAACCAATCTTTACTTCTACTAGATGAATAAATTCAAAGATAAACAAAATACAAGTAAATTAATTAAGTTGAAAGTAAACTAGAATTGATTCAATTGATCATTTTTTGATTATGATCAAATTTCATTGACCATCTACATTCATAATTTTTTGGGATGGACGACCATTCACATTCATTAAAAATTATTAGACGAGGCTTAAAATTAAATTTGGATCTAATGTCTTTCTTGAATTATGTTAAACACACACTCAATCACCATTTTCCTTTCTTTTCTACCGTTCGGAAAGGTTCTGATATGCATTAAGATGGGTGCAAGGACAACCGAGTCAATACCTTGACTTTCCTTAACGAGTTTGGCTGTTGGCCATTAGGAAATTTTCAAATAATCTTGAATTTATTATTTTTGAAAATATTGACTCAAATTTCATAAAAAAATTTATTTTAAATCAATTACTAAGTAGATTTGCTGAAAAAATTTAAAAAAAAAATTCTTGATAAATAAATTTATATGCTTATAAAAAGATAAAATTTTTATAAGATTAAATATAAAAAAAATACATAAAAAAATTATAAAGTTTATAAGATAAACATCATAAGATTATCAAAGATTAACGTCTTTATAGTTGTGTATATTAAAATGGATTATAGGATACTAAAAAAGTTCACATATGTATGGATATGCAAGTATATATGAGTATATATTTATTTGAGTTGAAAATATTTTATAAAATTAAAAAAAATTGAGAAGATCTTATGAATATTGATTGTTTGACTACTTATTAATATAAATTATATATTTATGATTTTTTATAACTAATAAATTTTTTTTTCATCTGTAGACATAGATTAATTGAACTGAACTATATTAAGTTGTTACTTCTTATATAATTGATTAATTATTTGATTATGCTTCTGTTAGCTTAAATGTTTAATTAGATTGAAGCTTTATGATCTAACAGTATTTTGTCATTGCTCAATTTGGACTACTATATATCCTCTTTATGTTGGATATTTGGATATTTTGTAAACCATTGGCTATTAAAATTGAGTTTGGAGTTCCGGATTTGGACAAGATACAGTTTGTAAGTACATCAAACCCGACTTTTTAATACGCATTAGAGTTGAAAATATATGAATACGAATCAATTTCTAGTTGTAACACAAACTGAGGCAGACTGGCAGAGTACAAAATCAGAAATGGTAGAACAAAGAAAAACAGAAAAAAAAAAACCTACACTGAAACGCAAGCATCTAATATCTAATTTAAAACTGCTTCGGAAGTAAGTGTCATTTGCAGTTCAAATCCTGTACAGCACGAGTTCCTAAATTAATTCCCATGGTGCAGCTCATTTCACTGGACTTCTTCCTCTTGATCACCTTCATTAAATGCACCTTTCCTTCCAACTTGGCTTGGCTGCTCAGTGGCAAAACACCAGAAGCGATATCATTACCAAGGTTCGAATTGCTCGACAGGCTGGTGGAACTAATATCAATTGTAACGTCGAATTTTTTGGTCTGCCTAGCCCTTGCACGAGCCTTAACAACAGCTGCCTCCCCAACCTGGTTGCCTCCATATAAGATTTTGATGGTGCTGTTTTCGTACTTGTAGTGACCAAAATTTGTGTTCTTCACAGTCACTTGAGCCATCAATTTCATGTCAAAGAAGGGTGAAGTGCTGTTACCAGTATTGAAATTCTCCACCGAAACAGCAGCAAACCTGACTTTAGGAGTTCTGATACGCATAACGGTTAGTGCAAATATCAAGATGATTGCTGTCTGAAACACAACAAATGCAGCCACATATGCCCAGCATTTTGCATTGTTTCGCTTTCCTTCTCCTTTCATTTTGATTGCTCCTTGAGGGAAAATTCTGTTTCTTTAGTTTTTGAATAGGTTGGTTAGGATGTGGTTTCTCAAGGCAAAGGTTTGGGTGTATTTATAGACTCGATTGAAACATTGAAATTTAAGTGATCAAAATTGCTGATTTAACTTCACCGTGTAAGAAATGTTCAGTATGAGACAAATAAAATTGGACAAAATGGCTTGAAAGTCAAATAAAACCGTAAATATTATGAAGCAGGTGGGGGTTTATTATAACTTCATTTTAGGCAGGTCTTCTCTTTCTAGATGCCTGACGTTCAAGAAAATGACATAACGATGAAAGTGAAACCACCTTAGCGCGTAGCGCATGCCGTCGTTGAAACTTTACATTGTGATATGGACTACAATTATGAAAACGAGGGAAGGCGTGTGATATAATATAATAGTAAGGCAGGGCCAGACAGCAATCCTTGACATTCGTTGCCTAATTGATGGCTTACTAGAAGGAGTGCTCGTTTCCTTGTATTTTCTTTTGGTAAGATCTAAAACTAGAGTCCTAAGTATATTAGCTGAACCTGAAGTAATAATAAAATAAAATAAACAATCGACGAATTGGATATGGGTCTCTCTAACTTTTCATTAGGGGGTGATTAGGGCTTTTGTAATCAGTGGGCTTGGTTTGCGTTTAAACTTGTGGATAGATCCCTTCCCTTTGTCAGCTAACAATTTGAGCCCAAACGAAAAAAGGGCTTGTGAGTATCAAGGCTTTTGCTGTCATAATTACCATCTAATTAAGTACAGTAATCCAAAAAAAATAAGACCTGCGCAGTTATGCAGACTCCATCCGTTAAAAAGAAATTTGTTTTTGTGGTGACTACTAAAATAGTAAAAACTGTGGGGAATCTCATTTTCTTGTAAACTAGGGTTTAATTTCTGTAAAAAAATTCCAAAAATAAAATTTTAAATAAATCAATATGAAAAAAAATATGTTTTTTAAAATCTCTGTCCGAAAACTTTCTTCATCTTATTATAAAAAAGAAGAAAAATAATAATAGAAAAATAATAATAATGAACCCAAAGTGAAACTTCATACCTAAAGTTCCTTTGATCAATATCTAAATTTGGAACCACTCTACCATAATATATATAGAGAACTGCAAATGATAAACTTCACGGAAGTTATGAAATTCGATTATTAATTATTTGATGGAAATATATAAAAGAAGAAAAGAAACCAATTGAAATTCTATAGTAGAACTGATCGTAGTCATTTACATTTAACCAGGAACTATAAAAAAACCCTCTCCCTTGAATCTGTATTAAGAGGGAGATAAAAACTAGCAAAATTAACTTACCGAAAAAGTGTGAACATCATTTACAATCTGATCCTTATTGTAAACAAAAGTGTAATGAATAATATGTAATAGCAGCTTGAAATCTTCATCACCATGGATGACATTCTAGAAGACAAATTCTTCGTCATTCTATATCCCATCCATCCGCCCTCAGGCCTCAGCCCACAAATCTCCGCTTTTCAAAATTGTCTTCTTTCTAATCCACCTATAAATGTCAACCAATCATGGCTGCCCTGCCCTTCCCTGCCTATATCATTTCAATTTCATGACCACCAGCCTCAACCTCTCCCTTGCAGCTGTACCGCACTCATCCCTCTTCTCTTCTTGCTCGCCAAACATATCATTCTGGGTCATTACGTCTGCCACATTTCTATCCCTTATGTGCGCCACGTGTGCAATGAAGAGGTTCACCTTTGAATTGGAAGCCAATTCCCAAGCCTACTTTTTTTCCCATTCCTTATTGCGGGTATTCGATACTACACCTAAAATGAAATATATTTGCCTTTCTTTTTTTTGGTTTCTGTTTTCCTTTCCTTTTGTATTCTAAGACTGTACAGTGACTTCTGCTTCCTTGGCTTATTGCAAAAATTCTTGTTACTTAGGGTTCTATTTACTCCCCTGGAAATTCTCTTAGAAATGCTCCTTGTGGAATTCAAATTTAGTGGAACCTTTTTGATTGAACTCGTAGCAGAGTTTGCTGAGTTCTTTAGCCAAAACCGGTGCCCCGCAGTAAAAGACACCTGCTCCACCACATTAAAACCATAACACCAATATTAGGACACAGAGAAGATTGCCATTTTCATTTGCTTAAATGGAATTGGGGCTCACCTATCCTTGCATTGCAGTGCTTGGAACTTAGTTTAGAGAGAACTTTCTTCCATTTAGGCCTTGCAAAATGGGTCCGCACCTGATAATGGCAAAGACGAACTGTTATCATGTTTAAAAAATTATAACAGCCGTGCTGTTGTTAATGCATGGGAGCTACCCGTGATATCTACATGAGGAATTTGTGACAGAGACGGATCGCAGAGATTTGACATTCAGAATCCTAAAAGACAATCACGTAGTGGAATATGCTAACAGAATGAAAATGACAGACAAAGAAGATCTTACTCTGGTGCCAGAAACGATGTCAACTCCATTCTTGGCATGATTTAGTGCTTGGACCATGGTGATGAGAGCTGAACGTGCATCTCCTTCCTCGTACACACTAGTCAAATAGTTATGCATTTCAATTACACCCTAGTGTTCAAAGTGACAAGTTAGTAACACTTGGGCATTCAAAGAAAACTATAACTAAAAAACTTTTAAATTGATTAGTTCTTTTACCCTTTGATCAAGTTCTGCAACTTCATTCATGACTCCTTTGAACCAATCAAATGAACCTTGCTCCCTGGTTACCCAATAAAAGTAAGCATTGGTTGTCTTAAGTGTTTTCTTTCGTTTTGGTGAAACTCTGTTGGGAGTGGTTGAATCATTGCTCCCAATACTTAGGTCTGATGTCCTACTGGAATCTAAGACGGAATCCTGAAAATTGAAGAAGCATCATTGTGACTCGGATAAGAAAACATTGAGAAACCAATGATTTTACCAAAGAATAAAAAAAGCAGACTCATTACTTGGCACGAGTTACTTACTGCCTGCTCCTCCATTTTGACAATGTTGTTAAGCAGATCTTTTAAAATGCTGATGAATGGTGTTGCACCAATTCCAAGTCCCACAAGTAACAGGACATCATACTTCCGATAGTCTTGTGCGGGGGCACCATATGGCCCATCTATTAAAAGCTTTGGCAAACTGTTATTCAGACAAGAATATCAAGGATCATTGAAATAATTCCTGGGGTCTAAATGCTCCCAACACAAGAGAGAAAATGTTGAATATATTAATAGAAAGCAAAATAGATATACCTTTTCTTAGTTGTCTCATCAGCCCTGAGAAGCCCACTTTTCCCAGCTACAGGCGGTTCACAAACTTTTGAGAATAGCCGTCTGAGCTCTTGTGTCCAGTCACCTAGCTGACGGATATGAACACTAAGGTAGTCATCACCAGGAGCAGACGTGATGGAAAATGGATGCCTGGTTCACAAAATGGAAATGCTCATCAGTTGAGAAAAAACTTGCATAATGCAAAACGTACACCCCTATCTTAACACTGATTTAGGATATCAACTATCGAAACTTTTATTATTTTAAACTTCCTTTCCGTGCTTACGAAGCAATCAAATGCGTTGAACCTGGTTCTATTCATATAAACGGGCTATTGTCGATAGAAAATTGAATTGGTTTCTGATCTACCTAATACGCATTTTCATCCTTCTCTATTTTGGATTTATCTCTAGAGACATTACTCTGGAAATTCTGAAAACATTTTACTAGCATCAGAGGAAGTGAAATAGCTGAAATCATCCTTAACACGTTACATATGCTTTAAATTTTTTACTTACCATTCAAAGGGAGAGACAGCAGGACACTGGACAAACATGTACTGTCCACTCTTGTACCGAAATTGAGGTGGCTTAGACATTTGTAATGTTAGAACACCTCCTGGATAAATTGCTACCTATATGATAAGAATGCAGGGGTACAAGAAGATTATCAGTCAAAATACAAAGCAGCTAGGATTTAGACCAAAATTCAGGGTTCATTCGAAAAGGATCACAAAGAGAAGCAACTTTAGTAAATTGATCGGCCTCACTTGAAAATTCTTGAGATTGTGCTTCCGAGTCAGTTGGTCTCATAAATGCTTCTCTTTTATTTTTTCAACCCTCTTTCTTTGAGCAGTTTCTAATTAATTATGGAACTTGTTGTCTATACTGAATCATAGTTAAAAGAGTTACGCTTACCTTCAAAAGCCGGACAGCATAGAAACCAGAACGCAAAAATCTCAGGGTCCTTTCTCCAGCATACAACAAAACTGGAACAGCTAGGTACATCCAAGTCTGCAACCAGGAATTCCATACCTTAACTTGCAGTTACAGTTACTTAAAAATAAAATAAAATCCTACTGTTAGAATTTCTACAATCAATTGAGAAAAGAAGAAGATTTAAATATATACCGTCTTTAAGTACCACATGTGCACCAGATAAAGTAATACGCCATGGACAATGAGCAAGATGTAGACAATGACAAACAGGTGATGTGAGTACCAGAAAGCATTGAAGCCAGTGATTCTATCAAAAGGCTTGGGCAGCTTAATCAGGTTCCGCCTAAACCATTTTGTTGCTAGTATAAACGCAATTGTCATGCAGATAACCATTAGAATTCCAGTAATTCCTTCAGGGCCTTTTACCAGGTCTACGTAAGTTGGTTTATGACTTCCAAAGTCATGGATTAGGAGCTCATAGTTATTAGTAGAAGACTTGATAAGCCTCGGAAAATCACAGGCAAGATGGTTACCGGCATGGAGAATGACTCCAATCACAATCGCTGCAGCTATTGTCTGCACAAATTCAATGAGATAAGGAGATAACATAAAAAAGATCTAATTGGATGGGAATAAAGAACAACTTTCATACTTTAATAACGAACTCCAGACTTCAGTAACAAGTAGCAATTTTAGTATGCCATGCATCAATTTTTCTTTTCCTTATGGACTAATATGCAAAAGTTTGCATTGTTTAACTGAAGCACATGGATAATTCAGGTATATAAAAAAGTCAGTACCATGAAAACCATAGATCCACTAGCTAACTCTTGCTAGCCTTTCATTCTGCCAAATCGAAAATTTAGATATATCAATATATATGTCAGGTAATCCAAGTGCATCAGATTACTTCTTCGTGGCCATAGCACCTAAAATTCCATGAGCTACAGTAGAAATTATTCTCCATGCAAGAGACATGATGAACTGATGGATTAATAGCTGCATCTTAATCACAAAACCATAAAGCATGCATGATCCAGTGTTCTAGAGCTGTTAACTTGTAATCTATTGGGGCACTTTTGTCTGTCTATCTAGGAAGTATAAACGACTGACCACGTTCAACTAGAAGCTATTGGGACACGAGAAACTGAAACTAAAATGCAAATTATTGGCTTTCAATGCATTATAAGTTATTACATCATTATTTTATTTTAATATAATAAAATATTTAAAATTTAAAATATTTATTTTTAAAATTTTTAATAATAACGTGGTAATTTGTGATGCATTAATAGCACTATACACTAATAATCTATCAAATATAATTTTTTTTAATAGATTTATATTTGATACATTATCAATATATAAATATTATATACCATTAATATATCATAAATCATCACATCATTATTTTGACTTAATATAATTAAACATTTAATATTTAAAAATATATATTTTTAAAAATTTTTATAATTACACAATACTTTGTGATATACTAACAATATATAATATTATATATTGATGGTATATCAAATATAAATCTTTGATTAGGTCAACTTGTTGCTTTATATTTTCATTAAAGCACCAATTTCCTTCTCATCTCATCTGGATAGCCCATGTAAACCTATCAATTAAATATACGGTAACTGAATGCCCGTTGTCTTCTTTTCTAAAATTTAATGTTGAAAAATTGGAACAGGAAAGAGAAAATAATAGACTAGCCCAGATAACATGAAATTTCTCACAAACAGAGGAAAAGGTTTATGCAAATGTAGGTTTTGCAATTTTGAGAAGCATTTAACCAAACCCAGGCCCTAGCTAAGTGGCTATAGCCTTCTTCCAGATAGCATTGCTACAGTACCAGGTATCTCACTTCCAATATTTATCTCCTAATTTCTACAAATTCTTTTTTGCTCTATGTTAGTAAAACAAAAAAAAAATTGTTTGTTTGTTTGTATAAGTCAATGTTTTTGGGCAACGCCAAAAAAATATTAAAACTACAATGTTTTAAATTCGTGTATTCTACCCCTATTTTTTTTTGTAAGAATACAGGAACCAAATTCCTTCACCACAAACGAAAATTTGAGATCTGTTTAGTTGTCGACTTTTGCTGCGTGAACGTGTAATGCCCGCACATAAGTAGTCTGTAGATATCACAGTTATAAGTGCAAGCGAAAAAAACAAAATAAATAACGATCTATCATTGCCGTTGATGGCTGAAAATAACAATCATATTAACTTCTATCATCAAGTCCCCACCTGGGACCCACAGGATAAACGTAAAGGAGAAGTAAAAAAAGTATACTGTAGGAGAAAAGAGCTGGTATATACAGTTCACATACCTTGTGAAAGTTGATATTGTCGTCAAAAGGCACGAAGAGACCCAGCTTGGTGGACCTGAGCCAAGTAATGGTGTTTCTGCACACAGGCAAGAGGACAAGAGCCATGTTAAACTTCAGGGTCTCACCTGCTCCCTTGGCTGTGAGGAGGCAGTAACCCATAACCTTAAAAGCATTCTTCTGCTTGTATTGAAAGAACTTCCAAGTAAAGAGCCCTATCATAATCATAATCCACAATGACACGACCCATATCCTCTTCCAGTTTTCTTCCAGATAGTACAAAAGTTTAGTGCTCATTCGTCTGATTCTGCTCTTCTTTCTCAATCCTTGTAAGTTTTGGCTAAGGGCTTGACTTGTGTAGCTTAGGGCTTGACTATAGCTCAGATAGGTGTCCTTTTGCAGAAGAAGTGTCTCCAATTGCCATAGCTGCATCAGTCATCATCCACCAAATCATGCAATTATGGATATGAAATATTAAATTATAAGGAAATTTTTATCATGCCAACGACAAGTTATCTTGATTTTTTCAACACGTTACACCATAAGTGATGCAGAATACACTCATGAATGAGTGAAAAGAACGCGTATTGGAGAGGGGAATAACCAGAAAGTAAAGCTCACATGGGAACCCAACTGTGTCAGGTCCGCCATTTAGTAATATCATGACTTCAAAACGGTCAATCATGGGATGTAGTTGGTCAGGACCCTTCAATCTATGACCAAATAACCACAATACCCTTTGCTCAATTCTTTCATCTCAATAACTTTGCTAAGTAAAACAACAGAAAAACGTCAATATGCAAAAAAAAGAAATAAGAAAAAAAAAATTCAAGGCAGATGCCAGATAGTGACCTGACAAGTTGATTTTGGTCTTATTACTATACTCTCCCTAATATCACCTGGAGATCAAATCAATTAAAGGGAAAATATTAAAAACTGAAAATTAAATGTGGTAATTATTAACTGGATAACCCTGCAATTTTAGAGATTAAAATGGAAAATATTACTATGGTAGTTCTCTCTTTTGGGTTGTACTATATATCACGGAAAACATACTATTTTCAACCTTTTTTTTTTTTTTCTCAACATCTAGCTCTATCTGCCTGGACTCAGAAAAGGAAGTATTAAAAACTGTTCAACGACCTTAAATGTAAGTTACTGTTTAACAACAAAAGTTGAGCTGTCCCGAGTAAAAAAGATCGTTATTCTAATTGCTTGATTATTTTTTCTTCGTCACGGTTAAACAAAACCAGAACCGGATTGTTGGACGATTTAATCATTTGTCGCCTAACAATAGACTTTGGAAGAAAAATTCAAACTTAAAAACTGTTTCATTTACTTCTTTTTTTATATTATGCAAAATTCCAAGTCAGTGATGATCCATTGGATTTATCTTTCTGAAATCGATTTATGAGTGTCGAACCTAATTTGAAAATGAATCTCAATATATCGTATGATTATCTCAACTTGCTTTATTAAACATTCTAGAACATCCCTTTTTTTAATAACTTAAAAAATTAAAAAGTAGTAAGAGGGAAAAAATATATGCAAAAAGCAAAGAGAAACATTTTGGCCATGGAAATATAAGTGTACCACATACAAATTAATAATGGACCCACCTCAATGTATCCAAGTCTTTCAGGGTCCAACTCCTCCATGATCAGAGCAGCATATTCCTCTGCCTGCTCCTTCAATCTCGAAAGCTTGTTTGCTGAAGCACTCAGCATGATAATCTATATACAAGAAGGAAAATGAACTTTGTATTAATAATTAAAATAATTATATATAGACCAAAATACCCCCAATAACCCCACTAAAACGATCATGCCGAAGGAAATTCTGAAAAAAAACTTAGAGGTGCCATCTGTCTCAACCTGTAGTAATGAAAAATCAATCTAATTATAGATAAGATGCTTGAAAAAATGGTTCACGTCAGACAACAAACAAAATTGAAGTCTTTTTTTTTAATTTGAATTTCATTTATTATCTAGGAGTCGTTAGTTTTAAGAATTCCTTGTGATTTAAGGTCACCCAATCCCTGCCTAACGTTGATTATAACAACCCAAATGACACCCTGTAACCAAATTTTTAAGTAATCACTTTAAACTTTAAATTATTTATTTCACTCTGACAAAGAAAGGTTGGCCTGGCAATTTCATTTTAAAGAACAAAATTTTGGAAAAGAACTACTTTTACCTCTTTTACTTCAGCCTCGGTGATTCTACCATCTTCGTTCTTGTCCACCCTGTAAATAAATTAAACAACATATAATACAATATTAGAAAAAAAATTAAATATTAATCGTTAACGTACTTGCGAAAAGACGATTTTGTCCAATTTACTGGTTTCGAAAATTATGTAGCGAGTCTCAAACAAAGCGGAGGGAGAGTGTGGACTTGAAGCTTTATATTAATTTAAAAATGGATTAATTAAAAGAAAAACGTTAATTAATTAAAAGTTAGTACTAATAATGGTAGTTTAATAATAATGCGTACATGTCGAAGAAGATCTGGAGGCGAGAATCAAAACTTTGATCGGTGATTTGAGACCAATATTCATAAAGCTCATCTTTGCTAATCTTTTCAACTTTTAATCTTCTTCTTCTGCTCAATGCATCGAACATCTCCAACGCAAACTCCTTCGAGTCCTTCATTCCTTGAAATACAGTAAACGATGAAGAGAAAAAAGTTAGCAACATTAGCGTTTGAGAAAATTGGATTTGAAAGAAAAATATGATGTTGAAATGAATGATAACCTATGCATTGTGCGAAATCGGAACGAAAGAGAAAGCCGTCTTTGGCGAGTTTGTTGAAATTGTTTTCAACTTCTTCCCATGCATTGGCTTTATTGTTACTAATAAATCTTAGTCCGCGAAGTGCTTTTTGAGCGCCGGAGCGAGTCCGGTCGAGTTGAGCTCGCTGCTTTCTCAGAGCTCGAGCGGCTAAAGCGGAGTCGAATCCGGTTATAGCCTGAGTTGCGTGTCCGTGGCCCCATGAGAACTTGCGTAGTTCGGCTTTTAACTCTTGTGAGAACTGCTTGGCTTTGGCCACGGCTTCGGCTTTTAGTTCTTGTGAAAACTGTCTCAATATATTGGATGAGGTCCGCTTAATATTTGGTGATCGTGAAGCGGAGGCCGGAGTATCGGCCCCGTCATCAACGGAGATGACGGTGGCCGGCTCGACGCTACGAAGGATGATGGTGTCATCGTCTTGGAGATCGAGAGTGACCTCGACGAACTCCTCAGCCGAGTTGGAATCAGTCCCCGGCGACGTCGTTGAACTGAGGATGGTTTTGGCAGGAATGGTGTCAGAGGCCCACCTCCTCTCATGCGTCGGCAAAGAACCGCCTCTCATTGAGCCAACAACTATTAATTATACTCGCTTACAGATACAGTCAATGTTATTGGAAAGGAGGAGTTAAATTAAGGTTTAGTTATTGAAGAGAAAAAAAAAAATAAACACGAGAGTTTAATATATAAAAGGTGGAGAGGAAACGCGGAGGGAATCTGAGGAAAAAGACAAGAACGCGGGGAAAGCAGCTCTATAAGAAGAGAAGGGAAAGAAAAGGACAAGGTTGCAGGGACCAAAGGCAGTGGGGGTGGGCGAGAAGAGATTTATTTATATAAATATATGTTGGATTTTGTCAGAGATTATTACGGTTATTGCGTGAAATCATAATATTACAAAACTAAATATTTTAATATTATGTACAAAAAGGAAGGTAGGGATTCGTTTGGGACCTCTTGGAGATTGGCGAGTCCTTTTCTTCTGCTTTTGAATTTTTATCTTTACGTACCTTCACGCGTATATCGAAATTTTATTATTATTGCTTTTGAATTTTGTATATGGGAACATTAAATTTAAATTAATGATATTAAATTGCAAACAACCTATAAATTTTTTTAATGAACAAAAATTTTTCAAATTTCAAATATTATAATTCATTTTGCATTAGTAAAAGATTAAATAAGAATTAAAGTCAAAAAATCTACTGTAACTAAAAAAACCAAAATACAAATAGAATTATTTCATAAAAAAATAAAATTATTTGCCTTTAGAAAAAAAAAAAGAGTTAAATACACAATTTGCGTCAGATATTATAGTGATTTAACTTTTTTTTAATTGTTTTTCAATGAGAGATGTTCCTCTCCAGTACTTAAAGATTAGTAAAAATTTTCTTTGCTTCATCTAAGGGTGATGTACTTTCTACTAAATCTATGACGAATATTTGTTAAATCCTTTTTATTTTTTAATTATTTTTATATTTAATTTAAAATTATTAATTTTCAATCATAAATTTAATTTGAAGTACATTTATCATTTTAATTAAAATAGTAAAAACTCTCATTGATTTTTAAATAATTTAAAAAAATATTTCCTTTTTCAACGAGTATAGAATAAAAATTATAAATACAATAATTAATGTCAATGTATCTATTGGATTGATAAAAAAAAATGATAATAAAAAATTAATTAAAAATTAATGAGTGCTAAACCAAAAGTGTTAACAAATTTACCATGTCAAAGTACAAATTATAATTCATGCAATCTATGAAATTACTACAATAACTACGATCTATGAAATGACAGTACAAATTAATTTATCTTTACAACTTACTTACAATTATTGTTGTTTGGTGGTATTGTATAGTCATAAAGGATAAAATGAGTGACTCATATTTTAATTGATATATTTTAGACATTTAGATCAAGTTAACGAATCAAATTGATTTGAATTATCGTCAATTCGATCAATTTCATAATACCATTTAAATATATACGGACATACTAATTTATTATTTTTTAATTTAATTTTTATATATAATATCAAATCAAATCAATTTTGTTAACCTTAAACCCAATTTTCAAAGCTCAAAATCACCTATGCTTGAAAAGTTCACCCTTTCGTATATAAGTACTTCCTCTCATTCTAAGTAAGGACAATTAATTTACTACCTTTTCTCTCCAAGTTTCCTATCTTTCTCTCTCTTTTGAGTATTGATTTGACCGTCGGCATATAAATGTAGAAAACAACTTTAATCTTTGTTTTTTTATCAATCTTGTACTTTTGATTTTAGATTTTTTGCCAAAATGTACCATAAGTTCGTATACTTTTTTATTTTTAAGAATTTACCGTGTTGGTTTGGTCTGCAATTTTCTTAGTTTTTTCCCACTTGTAGACTTGGGAAAAGGAACGTGCAAAAACAAAGAGACATATAATTAGATTCTGTCAAACACGGCACAATATCTTTGTGCAGTAACCCCTTGTTTTTCTTGGTTACGCATTAGAAACATTGAATAATTATGTTTTTTCGACAAAGCTAAACTGTTCTTAATAATCATGTTTATAACTTGATTGACTTGAATTAGCCTCGATCTTAACCGACAGTTAGATGGTAGAAACTCATTTCCTTGTGTATGACCTTTTAAAAATACTATATATATATATATATATTGCAAATGATAAACAGTTTATGAGTGGTAGGATTCTCATTTTTAGCAAAATTGTGTGGTAGGATTCTGTCTTTGGGTTAAAGATAATGCTAAGTCTCTCATTACATTTTACTTCCAACTAACAGATATGTCTTACATCATTGCAGGATTTGAATGACAAACTTCTTCAACCGCATCTCTGTAAACTTGTATGTCACATATATATGATCAAATGACAGATGACAAGAAGTTGAAATTCTTTTTTTGACTTTGCTACCTCAGATACATATACATATAGCTTCCATCCAAGGGAGAAATAGAAACGCCTAGGAACCTAACTAGACGGTTTATGACCAAGTTTGGTTCAATTATCAGGTTATATATTCTTCATATTCTGCCAATTTTAGGGGCAGGAATGTTAGATTATGATATATAGTTTGCGGAAGGAACAAACTATAACAGAATGTCCAGTTTCAGTCTGCTTCAAATATGGAATTTCTCTAAAGGGCTTAGCATCATATGGTATAAATGCATCTTTTCAAGTTTTATAGCCAAAAATAGATATTAAAAGAAATGTGTCCAAAAACACAACATGCCAACAAAATTTGTCTATTGTATTTGGAGTAGCATGATGTTACACATGCATATTTATACACTTGAATCTTGAACCCGTCAAACTTGTTTTCCAACCACTGAATTACAGTTTCAGATCCATTGACTCTATAATTTTAGTTTCTAGGAGAAGTTTCAAGAGTGAATTTTGATGACAGTAAAAGCAAAATTATCAAAGAAAAATGCTTCTTAGAACAGTCTGACAAAAAGAAAGTCCAATCCTTCAGCACTCATACTTATGCAAAGCACAATTTGGTTTTAGTTTTATAAAATCTTTAATAATATTTTCTTCTCATGCGTGACAAATGTGAGATATTATATGGACCCCTAAATCAAATCCTGACAAATCATAGAGCTGTTCGCACAGCCTTATTCAGTTACAAGGTATTAGTTCTTTTTCTCTCCTCTGCATATATCTATGATTGTGTTCTATTCGCTGGAAGCATCCAAACATAATTTTAGTACTATTGATGCATAAAACTAGTTATTTCAATCAGTATGAACAAGGGGAATTCTAGAATGAAAACGATTTCCAAATTGTAATGCTTCCTGCAATTATTTCATGAAAAGAGCAGATTTTAAAATTTATGTAAACAAACAGATCGACCTAACCCCATCAGAAAATTATAGAAATATACATGTTTACATTTTGAATCTGAAGCTAGATTGGTAGTTTAGTAAATCAAATGAATTAGTTTTTCATTTTTTTAATTGATCACAAGGGAATATAACACTGATTAATATAATATATTTATTATTGATTATTTTCTCCCTCCTCCAAACCAAAGAAATTAAAATAACTTGTCCCACAAGGGATATATGATGCAGATGCAATGTTTCTACTCCTGGAAAAGAATATCAGGCTGACTATCATCATCAACCAACCAGTATACTAAGAAAAAAAAATTTTTTAAGTCCAGTGTATGCATTCGAAGCTGTTTGGCACTACAAACATCCCATTCACCTAAACTTCACCATCATCAAAGAATGTTAATTTCAAGGAAATTTGCATTTTAGTTTAGCTTAGAGGAAGGTCTCTGTAATTGGCTAATAACATTCATGGAAAAGGATGGCTAGCTAGTTCATGGTTCTTGTTTCAACATGATCAAAGATATGCATGCTTAGAAGGTAGAAGAATCAAAGTAGGGGAGTTCACCCACCTAACCTATTGAAACTTGAAATTCTCATTTCTACTTTCAAATTCATCCCACTCCCGGAAAAGAAAAAATATCCAAATGAAAGAAAATAAAGGAAAAAGGAAAAGGGTGGAAAGAATAAATCATACACTTATTCCAATTAGAACTCTTTTTTCTTTTATATATAATTCCATGTTTTAGTTTGTTAAATACTTTGTTGACAAAATTCTTTTCTTAAATTTAACAACATATTTAACACATTTATAGACTTGGCAATATTAATGTATTGGTGTAGTATTTGTTTGTCCTAAATACGTGTGAAATAAGATAATTAATATGTTATAATTTGTGTTAGTCCGAAAATATAAAATATTTTTTTGAATTTTGTTAAATTCATATACAATTTTTATTAATTTTAAATTGTATTACTTTAATTTTTTTATATATGTACAATTTTTATCAATTTTAAATCGTATCATTTTCTTTTTTTTATATATCTTGTCATTGTGTTGTATTTAAAATTGTCAAATTTGTATATTAACTTGTTAAATATATATTTATTTAACACAACTAAAATCAAAATATATAAAGGAGTATATCTCTGCATAAGTTGGCAAAAAAAATGTGCTTGGAATTTGGAAGACTAATTATATATATTAAGCTGAGTAAAGCCAGATTAAGATGCATCAATTGACCATATATGTACACTGAAATCTGATGTTTAACTTTTGACCTGAAACAAAGTAACAACGCAATTTGTCTGCTACTGATCGTAAGCCTAGCTGATCAGCTGGAGAAGTCTGATTTTTCACTCAGACAAAACGAGGAAAAGAAGTCAAAAAAGATTTGGATTGGGGGACTACGTACATGCAGATGTTAATTTCTAAAGCCAGATATCTGGTCACAGTTACAGGAAGACTTGTTACGTTATGTTTTCCGACTGATGTCGCTGTTTAATTGAATTTTCTTCCTGATTAAATGACGTGCATGGATTGATCATATATATTTGTAGACTTCAAAACGAAGAGATGCTTAGTTTGGTGTTGTCAAAATCGAAGACAAACACATATTAACTAATTTAGCTTGGCCAACGGAATGTAAATGTAAGCATGCGTACATATTCTTCATTAAAGAAATTATAATATACACATTTTCTTAGGAGTGTTTGGTACGATGGAATGTGATTATATTTTTAGAATTTTAATTGATAGGAAGCATATTCCCATAGTTGGTATGTTAGATTCATGAGAATATAATTTTACCTTTAAAATAAAAAAATATATAAAAAATAAATAATCACGTAATCTATTGATAAAATATTAAAATTAAATTTTGATAATTTTACATATAATAAAAAAAAAAGAAGAAGATTAAATAAAAAGAGGCTTGGGATTGGGGCACGACAAGGTAAAACTGATATGATGGATTATCAACATTAAATTCATTGTATTGGCGATGGATCAAAGCGCTTTCCACAGATAATTTTGCATTCCAAAATCACAATCTCATTTT